AGAAAGAAAGAAAGAAAGAAAGAAAGAAAGAAAGAAAGAAAGAAAGACAGCAGGGGAGTGGGAATGTGGCAGGGAAATGAAGGAAGCCAGAGCTGGTGCGCTAGCAATGAGGCAGTTTGGGCTCAGTCCATGGAGAAATTCTGTAACCAGCAGAGCTCACACTTGAAGCAGTCCCCATCTGGGAACAGGGCATCTGGGACTTGTATATGTGACACTCTCTGTCCTTGGTGAGGGGTGTAAATTCCCAGGCACAGTGAGTGCTGTGCAGGGTTCCGGCAGCCTGAGCCACGGGTGTCTGCCGTTGGGCGTGAATGCACACAGGGAGCCAGTGTGCTCAAAAACCCTAATGGGATTCAGGGGGAATGTGGGCAGAGCATCGATAGTACTGTTGGCATTCGAACGCCTTAAAGGCGTGGAGCTGCCGCTCAGGGAGGTGGAGTAGCTCAGCCAGCGGCCCGCAACCAAGCAGTGCCAGAACTGGGATCCGAACATGCTCTGCCTGCCTGCTTCCCCCTTACCCTGCTGGCCCTGCCACGGAAGGGAGGACTCAGCTGCACCTGCTGCAGACATGGCTGAGGAGGAAGAGGAAAGGATAGCACTTAGACGGGGAATTAGTGGTGCTGCGAGGGGCACTGCCCACTGGGCTGTGAGCATTTAGGGCTCTTCCCACAGAGCTGGCAGCTCACCAGTAACTAGGGGGTAGGGGGGGAGGTGTTCTTTCCAAATCTGCAGTAGCTTCTCCTTCTTACAGTCTAGCTCAGCTTCTGGGTGAGTTGCATCCTCTGGAAAAGACTACAGCAAATGCTATTTATCTCTGTGTGGGGAAAAGAGGCTTAACAAATTAGCTGAGCTTAATTGATGAGGAAAGTAGGACAGAAAAGTTGGCCAGTTGTCCTGTGGGGTTTTCTGATCAATTCTCTCCATCAGTATATTTCATGTATGAGTCTGAGACCAGGTGGAAAAACTCCTGAGGGTAGCCAGGGTCCCACCTGTTCCCTGGGATGTCCCAGCAGCTGTGGCAGGTCCTCTGCACTGCTGGCTCTGTGGGTACACAGAGGACCATTCTCCTGCACAGGTGTACCTGTACCTTCAGATTCACAGAACCAAACATTCTGGAGCAGTGTTCCCAGCTGCAGAGGCCAAGAGTCAGGGTCAGAGCTCTGAAATAACACAGGACTCAGGCATATCACCATTCCCAGTGAATTAGGATCCCAAGGAATTGGGCCCCAAAGTCTACATTTGTTAAAAATACATCTTTTTAAAAATTTTTAAAGGTTTTTATTTGAGAGAGAGAGAGAGAGAGAGAGAGAGCAAGTGGGGGAGGGGGAGAGAGCGAGGGAGACAGATTACCAAGTAGGCTCCATGCTGTCAGCTCAGAGCCCCATGCTGGGCTCGAACTCACAAACTGTGAGATCATGACCTGAGCCAAAATCAAGAGTCAGATGCTTAACCAAATGAGCCACCCAGCTACCCCTCAAGGTCTTCACTTTTAAAAGCTCCCTAGGAGATTCCTACATGCAGCCAGACTTGAAAATCATTGTTTTGGAATGTCAGTGTGTGATTAAGTCTTGCCTTTTGCCCATGGTCAGCTTCTATGCTGATGCTTAAATACCTTTCAGGGACATGCTGTTCACCTTCCACTCAGGCACTTCCCCTGATGAGACCTCACTGCTCCTGAGGCAGCCCCATTCCATCTTGAACTACTTGGAAAATCAGAAAATTCTGTCTTACATAGTGTTGATACCTGCCTCCCAGATTACTGGAGACCTTGGTCCTAAATAAACTCTGAGAGGCTGCAAAGAGCAATTCCAGTCTCTCTTGCCCATGACAGTTCTTCATGTGCCTAAAGACACCTATACTTTCACTGGCCTACTCCGTGACCAAGTCTAATTTGTGGTGTCCTCCATTAATTGGTGTAGCCCAGTAGTCAACTCCCAGCCCCAGCAGTGTTTCTTCTAAGTCTCCTCTCCCCAGTTGCCCTTCTGTTCCTGGAAACCCAGAGCAGGGCTTTGAGTGCAGCATGTTAATCTACATCTCTTTAGATTCAGTTCAGTGTTCCAGTGTTCTGGAACCTATAAGTTCCCTGATAGTTACCTCCTCTGAGGATCTGAGGCTCCTCAGAGGGCAACTGGCCCTTAAGTCCTCATAGCTTCTAGGGAGAGGGCCTGGTTTGTGGAGTTTGTAGAATGGGGAGAAAGTATCTTTGGGACATGGCCTCACAGGAGTTTGTATCTCTGGAGATCCTTTCTTTCAGGGGCAGAACAGAGAAGACTTGGAGCCTCCTTCCTGAGGTGGGGGTTCGAGCAGCCTAGGAGGGGAGAGTTTTGTGGGGGCACGGCTCATAAGGAGGAGGACTTGTGTGGCTCCAGAAGACTTCTAGGTTCCAAGAATGTGACGGATCAAGGAATAAGGGTGGAACCTACAAAAGGTGGGGGATGGCCACTTCCCTTCTCTGCTTTGTGAAAAAGGCTTGGGATTTGTATGGACGCCATTTTGTGTTTGCTGCTTCTTGAGATTGAGGACTGAAGATATTGGCAGACAAGAGGAAGCAAGCATTATATATGTCTTATAGATGAACAAACTGAGACCAAAGGGGTTAAATGACAGCTGGTGGAGGCAGTCCTTTCCAGCCCAGTCCAGACTCCCATCCTAATTTGTCTTCACAGGGGCTGGCACCCTCTCCCTTCTAGGCTGGAGAAGGGGAGTTTGTGTCTTTAACCCCCAGATGGCCCAGAAAGACCCCTGTGACCACCATTGGTGTCCTGTGGGAGCTTTCCGTAAAGGACTGGGATGCTAGAGCTTGGACACTCGCACAGGCTCTATTTCCACATGCTTGTGCTGGCCAACAAACGTGTCCATTCTTTGTGTGGATGAAGTTTTAACAGAAGCCCGTGCACAGACAGTGCAATGATGTACCTCCCACATATAGCTGGGTTGCTGGTGCAGGCAGGCTCTTTAGCCCTCTATGCCTCATGGTTAAGGAGAAAGAGTCAGAGCTCTGTGTACTGATGAGGAAAGATATTCTTGACATATTGATAAGTAAAAAAATGATAGTTGTAACCTGATGCATATTTCGTGATCTCATTTAAATAAAAACATCTGTCTGATATGGGTACATAGATATGTACTTGCAGATGTGACCACAACCTTCTAGAAGGGGACACCTTAAACAATCTCTGGAGGATAAATGCGGAGGGGTAAATGGGACATTTCACCATTTAGCATATTTTATTTTATCTTTTAAAGTTTATTTTTTAAAGTTTGAGAGAGAGAGAGAAAGCGTGCGCATGTGAGGCAGGGGAGGGGCAGACAGAGCGGGAGAGAGAGAATCCTAAGCAAGCTCTGTGCTGCCAGCATGGAGCCTAACATGGAGCTCAAACCCACGAGCCCTGAGATCATGACCTGAGTTGAAATCAAGAGTCAGACACTTATCCGACTGAGCTACCCAAGCACCCCATTTAGCACATTTTTAAAAAGGGGGCAAGGTTATGGGATGATTTTGAACATTTTTACTTCTCTGTGTTTTTTTTCAAATAAAAAAGAGTAATAAAAATTACATCACAAGAATACACGCAAAAAAGTAAAAATAAAAGAGGACTACAATCTGATAGTTCTCTCCCACGTTCATAGGTGGCCTGGCACAGTGCCTGGTACTCAGCAAGTACTTGACACATGCTAACTGTGAGAGCTCTCACAGGACATGCTTGACAATGATCAGTTCTTTCTCTCTCTTCAATCTGGTGGCTTTCCAGTTAAAGAAGGATAAAAGCACCCAGAAAACATATGAGAAACGAAATAAGGAACCCTTATTTTCACTCTCTTCCACTTCCTTCACGTATTCAACAGCAATATTCACTCATATATTGAACACTATGTGCCAATTAAAGGGTAAGGTTCTGGGATACCACGCAAGATGTGGTCCCTGTCGTCATGGAGACCCCAACTTGGTGAAAGAGATAGATACTACGAAATAAATAAGCCGCTAATATTCAAGCACAGAAATAGCACGTGTTATAAAGAAACAGAACAAATTGCTATAAGAGAGAATGATGGGAGTAGAGTCATTGCCCAGAAGCAAGAAAGAGCCAGTTCTATGGGTCCTTTATGGGTTCTTTAGAACTGAAGGCAGCTCAGAACCCCAGCTGTGAGCTGCTGTTCTCCCAGGTGTCATTCATTGCAGCTGGACAAGCTGCCATAAATCCCTCATTCCAGATTTCGGATTTTTAGCCTCTGGCAGTCATGAGAATCATCCCCCTAAGCTCCCCTTCAGAAAAGCATTTGCAGGTACTTTTTCGAGAGGGGAGAGGAAAGCCCTCACCTTTGGTGGCCCTGTGATGCCTGTAGGAACCAGAGCTTCGACCTTGCTGAGGGCTAGTGCATAAGAGCTTGGAAAACAGCAGGAAATCAGATATCTGTGTTCAAATGATGCGTCTTGTAGCTAAGGCAGCGAAAGCTCAGGGGATGGCATGTTTTGTTAAGAAAAAAATCTCCAAGAACAATGTTTATCAAACCCCGTCTCGGCACTCATCTTGCGTGTCTTCCAGCTTCTGGCTTGCTTCTATTCATGTTTGTTTTCTTTTTCTTTCTGCAGGCCGTAGAGACCAATCTGGCTTCCAAGGACAGCCACTGGGTCTTTGTGAATGAGGTAAGAGCCCCAGAGTGGGAAGGGGTGCCAGCCTGCACTGAGCCCCCAGCCCCTTGAGAAAGCTCAGTGGGAAGCTGTTGGGGCCAATTCTGACTTGGGATGCTGGAGTGAATTCCAGGACCCCACCATGCAGCACAGGGTCTCAGAGAGTTGGACCTGACCTGCCAAGATGCTCAGGGGAGCAGGTGAGAACCAGGGAAAGAGTCAAGATTGGAGTACATGAAGTCAGAAGAGAAGTGGTTTCAGGCATTAGAGGTGCAGAGTGAGGAGAGACAGCCGGTCAGGGGGTTGGGGGCTGGAGAGATTGGGGCAGGTTAGAAGATCGGATGGAGAGGGAGTGGGGCAGAGGAGTGAGGGGGGATGGAGGAGGCTGCATTTCATGCAGGAGTTTGCAGTTCTGTGTGTTACATGACTTTGAATGTGTGTATGTATGAGTGCCTGCATGTGGGAGTGTATGTGAAAACACGTATGTCAGCATATGTGACAGTGTAGATGTATATGTGTGTGAGTGTGTACGTGTGCGCACACGCCCCTGGACCTAGCGGGGGCAGGAATCAGTGTAGCCATTTAAAGCGGGTAGATGAGAAGTCTCTCCCATGACAGGCCATCCCACTGCTTTGGGTGCTGGGAAGAAGGGGAACACCAAGTTTTCACTGTGGCCCAGTCCTCTCTCCGGCTGTTTTACCTGCCTGGCTCTGACCTCCTCCACACTACAGACATTCCAAGTGAGTGGTCTTTAACCACCTGCCCATTCAGGAAACACCACCAGGGCAGCCTGTGTGACCCCAGCATGCTGTTAACAGAGCTGATTCCGGAAGACGGTTCCTGGTGCATGCTTTCATCAGGGCTTTGGCCTTCAGCTTCTCCTAAATTAACCGATCAATTTCTAATGGCCTCATTCTAGAAGATGCAAGGTTTATTATAGAGGTAATTTATTCTTTTATGATGTGTGTTTCTTCATTAGCTCAGTGCTCTATGGCTGGAAGAGTTTTGGGTGGCTTATTTTAATAATTTTGCAGGTAGTATCAGATAGTAACTTTTGCAAGGCCCACTTTTCATGGCTTTCCTCCATAAATTCACATCTTATTAGCTCTACCCGGGCCTGTTGGACAATGCAAATTAACTGTCCATTTACGTCGGGTTGTGGCTGGTTGTGCTGCTAATTAGAAGGGACATGTTGGCCACCTCCCCATTCTTCAGAGCCTGCTGGGGTCCTCCTTGGTCCTAGGAAGTTTTGATCCTCTGGGCTTTGTCATCTTCTCTATGGGTTCTTCAAAGTCCGGTTTTCTTTGTTCCAGAGAAGGGATGCATTTCATGTGCCTCTTAAGGCAAATGTCTGGTGCTGGCTTGAATATTTTGGTGACTCCTCCAAACTGAATCGTCAGTGTTCCTCTGTTGTCAGTCTTCAAAAAGCACTCTGATTTTGCATCTTTAACCTGTATGCTTTTTTCTCCTCTGCATCCTGACTCACCTCCAGGGTCCTCTGTCCCTCCTGAGCCCCTCTTCATGGCTAGGAGTGACTTCAGAATGGTTAGTGCTGAAGTGCCCACAAGGGCATTGCTGGGGCAGCTGGACCCCAGGACTTACTTAGGTCACCAGGAGTAGTCAGGCTGACAGATGTCAGCCACACTAGAACAGCCTCACCCAAGGGGATAGCTATGCCCCACGACAGTCAGCAGCACATTGTGGGCCGGGTCACACATCATGTGAATATCCCCAGGCTAAGTGTATCCTCCTCCAGAAGTGATCTCCTTTCTTGGCTTCCTTTTCTATAGGAGGCTATTCTTCTTGAGAATGAAAGGGTAACACCTACCATTTCTTATTTATTTATTTTTATTTTTTTATGTTATTTTTTTACTTTTATATTTGAGAGAGAGAGAGAGACAGACAGACACAGCATGAGTGCAGGAGGGGCAGAGAGAGAGGAAGACACAGAATCTGAAGCAGGCTCCAGGCTCTGAGCTGTCAGCATAGAGCCTGACGTGGGGCTCGAACTCACAAACCTCGAGATTGTGACCTGATCATGAGCTGAAGCTGGATGCTTAACCGACTGAGCTAGCAGGCATCCCTTACTTATTTAATTTTTAAAGTTTATTTATTTATTTTGAAGGAGAGAGAGAGAGAAAGCACACATAGGGGAGGGGCAGAGAGAAGGCTAGAGAGAGGATCCAAAGCAGGCTCTGCACTGTCAGCTTGGAGCCCGTTGCAGGGCTCAATCTCATGACCGTGGGATCATGACCTGAGCTAAAATCAAGAGTCCGAAGTTTAACCAACTGAGCCACCCAGGCACTCCAACACCTACCATTTCTTGATCACCTATTATATGCCAGGCACTTGTCAGAGTGTTTTATATTTGGGACCATCCTTAGACCTCATCAACAACCCTATATGACAGTTATTATCATCCCCATTTTACAGTTGGGAAAGGGCAGGCCCAAGAGGTTAAATCACTTGCCCAAGGTCATACAATGATTAAATGGTGCATTTGGGATTCTGTATGAAGACTGACTACAAAGCCATTTCTTCCAAATGACACTATTATGCATACGGCCCTGACAAAGATCCTTAAAATATGGTCAAGGTCTGATTCAGTGAGGCCAGTAGGTAGGACTCAGGTATGCACACTTATGGAGACACTGTTGGCTTTGGTGTCAGCTCATGTACATTCTTGAAGTCTGTGATCTGGAGGTATGTCGTCGTATAAAGCTTTGACCCTTAGGTCCCAGTGTGGCCTTTGGTTAATGAGCAAGCTGTTCTCTCAATTGTATGTAGATTTACCCTTAGGATCCAGCCATATTCAGAACTGCTGTTTCCTGTTACATAATGGCCCCACTGGAAACAAAAGTCCTATTATTCTTATGATAGTTGTATCATTCTAGACTCTATCTAAATACAGAACCACAGACAATGTTTACCAGTTGCTTTTCTGTTTGTCGTATGTGATGGATAGGATAAAGTAAAGTGGGAAGAAGAGAAGCAGGGGAAGGCATTTGGTGGTTCTGACATGGTCTCCAGAATTCAGCAACAGTATCGGGGCCCCGTCTTCTCATTTCCTGAGCTGCTCCCTACTTCTTTAGAAGCAAGTTCAGTTTGTTTGACAAACTCAGGTTGGTGCCTCTTCCTGTCATGTCTTTCCCCCAAGGAGGCCTGCACTGTGGTCCCCAGCTCTGCCCCTGCTCCCTCATTCCTCACAGGCTGTGTCTTCTAGTTTCTCCCTCTATATCTGACTTCCTTAATGTATTTTCCTGGATTCAAGATAAACACTCAAAGGCACATAATTTTGTTTTGTTTTGTTTTTTCCTTAATCTGGTGGTTTTCTTAATACATATACTCCTTCACTGGTGAATATTGGTGTTGTATACATGAGGTCTATTTCATTTGGAGAAGGGGTAATTGGATGCAGAGAAAGGCTTGTGAGCATGTGAGCCTCACTGATAGTTTTTAGATTTTGTAGGTCTCTGGGCTTGACTGTGGGAACACTGACAAGCAGATGTACTTTTGGGTCTAAACTATATTTTCATTGATTATTTAAATTATATGTTAGTTTGGAGGAGGGTGGGGGATTCAAAAGAACCTGTGGAAAGCAAATTGAACCAGTTGTCAAGGTGGCCACTAGGTCATGAGTCCCTAGAAGACATGGTCAGAATTTAGCTAATCACTGAATCCTAGTGCCCTATGCAGAGTAGGTTCTTTTCTTTTTTAAGTTTATTTAATTATTTTGAGTGAGAGAGAGAGAGAGAGAGAGAGAGAGAGAATGATAGCACATGTTTATATGCTTGAGGGGAGGTTGGGTGAGGCAGAGGAGAGAGAAAGAGAGAGAGAGAGAGAAAGAGAGAGAATCCCAAGCAGTCTCCCCGGTGTCAGCACAGAGCCCTACATGGGGCTTGAATTCATGAACTGTGAGATCATGACCTGAGCCGAAATCACGACTAGGACACTTAACCAACTGAGCCACCCAAACATTCCCCAAAGAGTAGGTTCCTAATAAGGTTTGGTTGAAGGCAGGTTGATATACTTAGGATAGAGCAAGTTCCTTTGAAGAACATTTCTCAGTAGGCCTTCGAGGAAAGACAAAGGCAACAATTAAACTCGAGGCTTAGGGATGGAGAGGACTAGTCTGGGTCATTCACCAGAAGTTGCCAGTTGAGGACCAGTCACACGTGGCTTTGGATGAGCTAGGTGGCTTCCAGAACCTCTTCACTAGCTGGTCTGGAGTGTCTCTTCTCCATATGGCTTTCAGCAGATCCCAGGTGAGCCAGTGTGCAGGACAGGTGTCCTCAATGCCAGGTGGAGTCTGAATGCAGAAGAGAATGCCCTTTCCATGAGGATCCGTCTTTTGGGAACTTTTTGGAGGAAATTCTTTTATGGAATATATATATATATAATTTTCAGCATCTTCCGGAACTAAGTGTGATGGGACTTGGAGTGCTCTGTTGGTTGCTGAACAGCTCAGACTGTTAGAGTAGTTCTTCCAGACATGCACCCAAAGCATGTTTTGATGGGAATGGTTTAAGATATTTAGAAAGCAGTTCAGAAGGTCATATATAACCCTTGTTCTTAGGTTTCTCAGTGAGTGAGGCTCTGGGCTGTGTAGGTGGAAGAGACAGAATTGGCAGGCACCCCTGCCACATTTCCAGCAGACATCAATGACCACCACATCCCATGCCCATTTCAGAACTTGTGTCTGAGCTCCAGACTCAGAGGTCCAGATGCCTTCTAGACTCAGCTGCTTGGAAGCCTTGTGACCACCTCCAGCTCAGTGCATCTCTCCCCAGTGCTCCCTCACTCAGCGTTACGTTCCCAGGGGCCCATGTCTCCACCCCTCTGGTTGGCTTCCTACTCAGTGAAGAAAAGCCAACATCATGGACCCTGCCTCAGAACCTGTCTAGGATGACCCTGACTGCACCTGTACACCTTCATGTACTTCTTACCCTTCTACTCACTCTCCCATGACTCATCCCTGCAAGCAGAGGAGTGACTTGTTTTCTCTATTTATTTTC